CCCCTAAACACACCCTCTTAAATAATCTTATGATAATTCTTGTCTTATGATAGTTGCCGCTTGTAAACGGCAGATTAGGGATTCCTGCTGCAGGAAAACGCAAGTTCCTGACACCGGAATCTCTAATCACACCTGAAATATACTGTAGGTGTGAATGGGGCCTAATATACACATACACTAAGTCCATACACCTGCCGATTATCGTACGATTATCACAGGTGATCCTGCGATTGTATGATAAGCAGGTGTATGGGGAGCGTGCGACCGCTTCTACTTTAAGGTCGCACGACTTTCGTCTTCCAAGCACGCTGGAAAACCTGCCGAAAATCGTAAGATTTTCACCCCTTATTAACCCTCCCACACACATAAAATAATATACTCCCCCTTATTAACCCACCCCTCACGCACACAAAATAATAATACACTCCCTCACCTGTTCACGTCTTTGCAGGGAGGAGGCTGTGAAGAGGATCGGTCCCTGGTTTACCTGTGAGTGATTAGTGAGGTCTGCAGCAGACCTCACTATCACCCCCAGATAACCAGGGATCGATCCTCCTCACATACATTCTTTCTTTCGGACGGAGCTCAGAACTGTCAGAGCTCCGGCTGAAGGAAGCCAGAGCTGACAGGAGCAGTAGTTCGAACGTTCGTTTCGGTTTCTGTTCTTATTCGTTTCTTATTCGTTTCGTTCGTTCGTTCGTTTGCAGCAAAGTGACATTTGAGGGGGAAATTTTTTTTTCACCTTCTCTAATGTCACTTTGCTCCAACGAACGAAACGAATAAGAACTGAATAAGAACCGAAAACGAAACGAACGTTCGAACTACCGCTACCGAATTTCGGAAATGGAAATTCGGATTCGTTTGCATTCGTTATGTCTGTAATTCGGAATTCGGATACATCCGAATGTCCGAATTTCCGAAAATTCATCCGAATTTCGATTCTGAACGAAACGAATTGCACATGTCTATCAGGCGCTATTCTTAAAAACTGGGTCCACAGAATATATATACTGTATATATGTACATTATTTGTGTATATATAGGTCCATTAGTGTTATTCACTGATTACATTTATCTCTTATCTTTTGAAACATTTGTGTAACTTTTTTGCTAAATTGACACCCAGATTACCGGCCTTTAATGCCTCTCACATTTAAGTCTATAAGATAATTATGTCAGGTTGCACATTCTTAAGAAAACAGATTTGCAGTTATGGTGAAGTAACATTTGTGCTATGTTGTATTACATTTATTCACTTCCTATTTTAAATAATGGCACTTTGCACTGTATAGATTAGCTGTGCACTTTAAAACAATTTGTTAAAATGACTACTTCAAAAATATGGGAAACACCAAAATGAAGGCTTTTATGCAGACATCTGTTTTCTGTGTTGACAGCTTTGGAAAGCACATATAACAAATGAAAGCTTTAACCTTCAAAACAACATGAATACCAACTGCAAATGTCTTCATTTAGGAGACAAGATATAATCATTTAAGAGCCATAGCAGCTATGATTTAGATATACAGAAGAAAACCACTCTGGAATTCTAACCATATATATTATCTAACAATAAGTAAACACAATTTACCAGCTTAAGACCGAGGCAGCAATTCCATCATTATTTAAAAAATGAAAAGTGTATGAAATGGTTATCTGACATCTAGAGGACCCGTACAGAGAAGGCATGACTTTTCTGACCTAACTGATTATGTGCCTTTCACACTGCTCCCTTGTTTAATCATCACTCTTTCCCCACATTTCGACTATCAGCCATACAGCTAAACCACAAAATTGCCTGAACATTTATCTTTTTTTTTTGTAAAAAGATGTTTTGTCCGTTTGAATGTATCAGTGTAACCGAATGCATCTTCCATAACAAATTAAAGAAAAGTAGTTTCATTTCTGTGCTGCATTCTCTGTAATATAAATTTAATGAAAAAGTCTATCCGAAAGACCATGACCCCCTTTAATGTTTACAGCGCGAGGGGTTGGAGGTGTGGACCGCAAAGATTTCAGGTGTAAAGCTCTTGCTGTTCAAGTCCCTGAGAGTAATGACAAGTCAGTGAATGATTCAATGGAATAGAGGCTGTTTATCAAGCAAATTGATTCTGCTTTGCAAACACCTATATACAGAAAGGTCTAGAAGAGTCATTTCTGAATCCTAGTAAGGAGGTAGTTTCTTAAAGCTTACTGAATGTGTCTGTAATAAAAGTGAAATGGTAAGCAAGTCTTGCCATTGCATAGCAGGACATGTATATTGCTCTATTAAGACTTCTGAAACACTTTGCAATATTTTTCAGGTAAACTTTTTATAATGAATAGATATTTTAGCATTTACCATGTTGATCAGTCAACATGGTAAATGCAAAAATATCTATTAAATAAGAGCATATAGGAACAGGAATAAAATATTGCCAGTACAACTAAGTTGTTACATCAATTTACATATTATATGAGGATAAATACAACACAGCAAGATACAAGAGGAAAAGAACAGAAAAGGGGGTGTTGATGCTATATAAATCCTGTATAACAATAATAATAATAATATACCAGTAAAAAAGACATCCAAATTTCAATATAAGTTAGGTATACCACCTAGGTGACAGGTATCAGCAGATACATAATGCCAACAGATAAATCCTGCCATTGCTGATTTGTTTTTGGTGCAGATTATGAGACTTTATCCCCTTTATCCCTCTGGCTTCATTTTATTATCTTTATCCTTGCTCCGCTACTTCGAACTACTGGCCCAGAACAACAATACATATATCAGGCATATATCCTGGTTGATAGCCCTGTCCACAGTGGCAGCTCTCATAGTTCTTCCTAACAATTTTCTTTAAAGAAGGTCCCAGACAAGAAGAACGTTGTTCCAGCTTTATTGTTCATTGACATACAGTTTTTTGGCCGTATAAATTAATCTTTATGATAAAACTACCCATTTCCCTTAATGTAAACCTAAGCCCTAAATCTAGCCCTGAAACTTTACCTAACTCAAAAATCCTAATGTGTGGCAGATAAGTTGCACTCGGTCTAGTTGTGAATGGGTGTGAAAGTGATCTCTCAAAACCAAAGGGGAGAGATCACCTTCAGATAACAAAATATAATAAAAAATGTTAAATATAAAGTAGATGTCTCCACTGTGGACATCCATGAGGAACCCTCTATTGATCGAATAAACTTTCCACTCAGACATTACGGTAATAAGGAAAGTAATTACTATTTTTTGCAAACCGCAATTTCTCTGAAATGACTGCTTAGGATATTTGAATTTGAGCCTATTAACCCCGTAGTTCCAGTTTTGAGAAGAACTGGAGCGCACTTTGCTGCACCTTACTTTTTATTTTTATTTTTCGTTTTTTATAACGTATCACTTGTTGTTTAACTATTCACTGGATTTTATATATAGGTGCTTTTATTGATTGTTTATTCACATATTATTGCTTCATGACTATGCTTATACGGATGCTTTCAATATAACTGATTTGTTTAGCCAGCTAAAGCTCACCACACACATACAATACACTCAAGTACCACCGGGTTGTGTTTTGCAGCTTCAACCACTAATTCACTATCCCTAGTGGAGACATCTACTTTATATTTAACATTTTTTATTATATTTTGTTATCTGAAGGTGATCTCCCCCCTTTGGTTTTGAGTGATCACTTTCACACCCATTCACAACTAGACCGAGCGCAACTCATCTGCCACACATTAGACTCACTTACACACATAGTTGCTGCTGGTCTATTTAGCTATTTAGATTTTGAGTCACTCATTCCCAGCGCAGTGATTTTTGATTATTATAACTCAAAAATCCTACTCCTTAAGGTAATAATTATCATGGCCAACAGTATACTATTTTGCTGATAATTTTTTTTTAAATCATATTAAAAATGAAATAACAAAACAGAATCTGCCAAATCTTCTGTTCCTAAAATTCTGATGGCAAAATGATGGCACTAAAAACTACCGACAAGATAAATATTATATTGGTCAGATACCACGTCTGGAATCCGGGAGTCTAACTGACTGCATACCACAGAAAATCTTATCACAGCTTCAGGCTTTTATATTCTTTGCCAGCTGTTAGTCTTTCTTTTATTCTGTTATATTGTATTATCATGCAGAAATACTGTATATCTACTAAATGTGTTTTTTTTTCTAACTCAGGGGGAAATTGGAAGAGAAATGTACATAATCAAGCAGGGTGCTGTGCAAGTTCTAGGTGGACCTGATGACAAGAAAGTCCTGGTTACACTGAAAGCCGGAGCTGTGTTTGGAGAAATCAGGTTTAGTTCTGTTTATAGTATAAACTGCATGACATTTAGAAATGTAATCACCTTGTATGATACAATGCAACTCACTCCTTGAAGGATAGCTTCTGATATTCCAACTTTGGCTCAACATGAGACCATCATTTTGTTTTATAATGACCACAACAAGCAGGTGCAATTGACATGATAACTGCAAATCTGAATCTTTTTCAGCCTGCTGTCTACTGGGGGAGGAAATCGGCGAACGGCAAATGTGGTGGCACATGGATTTGCTAACCTATTCATTCTAGATAAGAAGGGTCTCAGTGAGATTCTGATCCACTATCCAGATTCCAATAAACTGCTGACAAAGAAAGCCAAGTAAGATTTTAACTGTTTACTATAGAAATAGGAAAACCATCATGCTGTTAACAAATTGTCCTTTATCATGCTGTTGGGTTGGAAGTCTGCATTAAAATATTTTCTGTCTGAACAAAAATGTTAATGTAGTTTCACATTTTTATCACATTTTTTTTAAAAAGAGTTTTATTGGGTTTTTAACATGTATACAAAAGCATGTAGCATAGGTACATAAATGTTTGTTTTGGTATAGAGCAGGTGTCAGCAACCTTAAACACTAAAAGAGCCATTTGGACCCTTTTCACACAGAAAAGAAAACACTGGGAACCACAAAACCCCTTTGACATCTAAAATGAAGATAACACTGCATATATTGTTTTATACCTTTATGCTATGTATAGGTATATGTGGGCTTAGTAACGCACTGGACTCAGGGCTTAGTAACGCACTAAACCATAGATCCTGCACAGCCCATCTGAGACTCTCTATGGTGGGCTCTGCAGGACCTCAGGTTGGCTGGTCGCCAGGGTCCCTTTCCCTCCTCCTCTTACCTGCTGCTGCTGGGGCCTGGCCTCCTCCACCCCCTCCCCTGTCACCTCTGCCATGCCGCCCCTGGTACAGCTGATACTCATGCCCTCGTACCCCCCGATGGCTGTGTTCTATCAAAGTTTGTGACTACGTTACAATGTGTGGCCGGTGATGTGGTCACACATTTCAATGTAATCCCGCCCAGTTTTTTGGCGGTGGAATGTGTGATCGTCAATAGGTCATGTATTCCAGCTGTTCCAGGGCAGATCGGCATCGCAGATCGTATGTGCAGGGGAACCGATCTGCCCTGGAACAGCTGTTCGGTCCTGCTGTGAGTCCGATCTCACATTCCACCCCACTCACAAAGTCGGATAGAAGTGACATTTCAGGACCGAACAGCTGTTCCAGGGCAGATCGGTTCCCCTGCACATACGATCTGCGATGCCGATCTGCCCTGGAACAGCTGGAATACATGACCTATTGACGATCACACATTCCACCGCCAAAAAACTGGGCGGGATTACATTGAAATGTGACCACGTCACTGGTCACACATTCCAACCTAGTCACAAACTTTGATATAACAGTGGCCCTGCCTAATCATTTAATCAGAGAAATAGATTATAAAATAGGTAACATTACAGCGTAATGTTCCCCATTATAATCCACTTATCTAATTAAATGAAATAACAGCACACAGTGTGCAGTTACACCCGTACCAACCCCTCCCTCCGCCCGGATCCTCATTCGTACTCACCTGCCAAGCCTCACAGCCAGCATCCTAGCCAGACGGTGTGCTCTGCAGGGGGCGAGGCATGTGACACACACTTCTCCTCTCCCGCCGCCTGGTACTAGGGACGCGGCCGGGAGAGGAGGTGAGTCACAGGACCGGCCCCCTTGCTGAGAAGCCCATCGGCAGTGCAGGGACCCTGCACTGCCGCATATTCCACCGGGGGTGCCCAGGACCAGACCTCACTTGGCCCCCCCACAGCCTCAGGCCAGAGCAGTAGTTCCGCCCCTGGACAGGGAGCCGCAGCAGGGGGATGAAAGAGCCGCATGCCGCTCCGGAGCCACGGGTTGCTGACCCCTGGTATAGAG